CTGTTACTACTAGCTTCTTGTTACTACTAGTAAGGCACCTGTTACTAGAAGCGTGGCACCTGTTACTACAGGAACAAAGAAATCATGTTCGCAATTTACCCACCGTATGCGGCTGTAGACAACCCAGCCATCCACCCACCCTGCAGTGGCCTTCGCATCTGTGCTAGCTGCTCAGGGGCGGTTTGCGGCGCCCGCTTGAGGTCCAACTTCGGGACAGCCTGGGAGCATCGAGGTTTGATGGAACATTGAGGTTCCAGCTTTCTCCTAGCTTTGTACGCTAGTACTAGGTGGAGGCCATCGCTATTAGCTTGGAGGGCCATCGCTACTAATTTACTAACAAGAAGCTACTAGACTATGAAGAGTTTACAGTTTACCTGTTACAACTTGAAAACGTCTTGTAACAGTTCACATCAAGTCTTTCTTGGTGTCTTCTGCACGGATTTCGTCCCCCAGCTACCGCGCCTTAACCGCGACCATCTCTTTGGAGGCTCGGCTCTGCGCCTTGTAAACGAAGCCGAAGCCCCCGGCACCAATGCGACCGCCCTGAGCAAGGCGTTTTGGGCCGATTCACAGGGATAGACATATGGATTATGGATGGGCATATCACATCTCCTTAAACATCCTAACTGTCAACAATCATTGTTATTCCTCACATCTAGATTTATCAGAGTGTGCTTGGCTTTGATGCAAAACCCAAACCATTTATCCAAAAAAACAACATCAAAGAAGAAGACAAACTGAACCACGGCTATGGGTACTCAGAGCGCTCTCGGCACATATTTGGCATCTAGCAGCAGGTTAAGCTCCCATAACACTTTGCGGCACTCCGATCCCACACTAGTTGCCAGAACACTCACGTGGCCGTGGCCATACTGGGCCATACATGATCAATCCATATCAAGCCCTCAGTGTTTCTTACCACTGCGCCTGCCGGTCATATCTGTCCCAAACCTCAAGTGGGGCACTGAAGCACGAGGCAAATACATTACAGTATCCAGGTGGTGCCTAAAACCAGCAAAGGCGCAGAGCCTCACAATGAGCTACTGTAGTAAGATACAAAAACACACAATTCAATGAATATAGACCGTCAAGATTGGTGGTCTGCATAAGAGCAGGAAACAATTAAAACTGATCCAGCAAACATCGAGAATCAGCGGAGGAGCACTCGAATCACATGTCCAAAGAATCAACATGAATCAACCCTTCCTGGGGTACTCACCTTTTGCTGCTTCACCCAGAAGAGGTGATTCAAGTGTTGCACTCACTGAAAATGGACAATGGATGAAAATGGCCCGTTCCTCTACAAACAGGTGGTTTTCGACTTCCATGATTATTTCAGGGAGTGCACATTCAAGAGGTCAGCTCAGTGTCCCACAGTCTCACTGCTGTCGGTCTTTGTAACGGACCAGCGTGCCTTCGGAGTGCTGAATCGTTCCAAATGCCCCGGCTGAGCTGCTCGAACTCACCATGTCAAATGTGCAGTCTGTTTTTGAGAGACAACGTGCCAATGAGCACACCTCTTGAAAGGCAAAACTGTTTTGGAAACCAAACAAACAACCTAGGCAACACCTGCCTGCATGGCAGGGATAGCGCTGGAGCGCCCCAGCTCAGCATTGTGGGGGCCAAGATGGCCAGTCAAAGCTGTGTAACCAATGACGCCTGAATTTCCCTGCTTTGCCCAAGAACTGCCATTAATGAAGATGCAAGTCTGTAGGCCACCCTTTTCTTGTTGACTCACTTTGCTGGCATTGCATTATGAACTCATATCCGACAAACACAAAATGGAATCCTGATGTGTGGGGAGCGGTCTTCCTGATCCAGAAAAGAACTTGTGCATCCAGGGGTCTGCAGTTGTTTTCCACTTCGTCTCAATCAGAGACACCATCTTTCACAAAAACACTAAACCATTGCACCCTAAATTTGAGACATCAAACCGGGTCAAAGAAGAATGTCATTGGTCCCTCTGGAAACACGATCTTCTCGCGTGACCTCATAACCCTTGAGACAAAGCAGCTCAGCTGTCGCGGCAAAGATGGAGTTCTTCCACTGCCCGAAGCGAAGGGTAATTAACATACTGGAGAGCTGATGTTTGGCCAACGTATCCAAATAATATACCCATCAAATAAGATCCCACCGTATCAGTCAGAGATTCTATTTGGTCCGGTCCATGCTGCTCAAGTAGAAATACAGCGCCATCACGAACCTGGTAACCTGTCTGCTTGTCGCAAAGGCCGACCCTTGGACTCGACAGGCCAAATACAATAAGCAAACAATGCGAGGCATGATCAAACTCATCTGGACAATGACTAGCCCAAAACATCGCAATACATTACAATTGTATGTCAACTCTCAAGTATATGCAACTGTTTGACGCGTTTTTCAAGCTCCAGGACAATGCGCCACGACGCAAGGCTAAGGACCTCCATCCACGCACGACGCGAGGTCCAACCGGGATGCCCGGCACGGAGAGCGTGAACTTCCATGGCATGCTGATGATGTGCAAGAGCCAGTCCATCGTAGAGGCCCTGAACAAGAAACAAACAGCACCCATCAGCACCCCCCCATGGGGCCCCCACGTTTCTGCGGACCCAACATGAAGAAAATTAATTAGTGATCACGATCTGTGATGGACTACTATGCTTAATGTTGCTGTCATTCTTGGTTTCCTTATCTGTTCCTCTTTGTCAGGGATCTTTGGGGGTCCTGTATTTTGAGGCAAGTCCATTTCCGGGCCTAGCCGTCAGTCCAAAGGGAGAATGCAGCTCAAACCTTGCGAGCCAAGTGTGATAGGTCGCCCCGGTCTTCCTTTGTTGCTAGAGCCCATCTGACCATGCGCCTTTCGCCATCTTCAGTCACATCACACACCGAGGCCACAATGGCCTAGCAAGGCCAAGTGCGAATTCCACAGCCAAGGATTTGCTCAGGTGACATGAGCATCAGCCCATGTGTTGAAACAATATTAGATCTGCCAACCAATGTCGCCGGTGCTCATCAATACTTGACCTTTCAGACAAAGAATCCAGGATGTCTGCCACGGCAGGCCGTTTTCTGGCTACACAGTCGCCACAGTGGACACACAAGCGTGTCTCAGCGCAATGAACCTGGCCTCGTACCAGGAATGCGCACCCAAGCGCATCTTGTCAATGTTGATCACCTCGGAAGGCTTCTCCAATCTGTTCTGAATCTTCAATGTTGGGGGAATCAAATTCATCGGCCTACAGCTGGGATCCTTGCAACACAACGTCGAAGGCACCCGACGAAAAAAGGCGACCGTGCAGTGCTGGCGATCTGCTTGGAAAACGCGCCTTGTCTACAAAATGGCTCATCTGCATGGCAGCTATGTTCCTGACGCAAGGATTGGTGCATGTTGGAGCAGTATCTCCCTTTGTCTACCCCCTCCAATCCCCCAAAGCTAGTGTTTTCTGACCTTGCGGGCCTCAACCTCATTCGGCTCCGTGGTGAAACCCAGCAAAAACAAGGGAGGGCCAACAGCTATCTGGAACCATCATGAACTATCACAGTGGCCTGGGAGTATCAACTCATATTCGACTCATATCAACCCTCCATCGACGACGGCGCTCTTTGTGAGCTCGTCATTTTCGTTGAGGATGGTGACCGTCAGCGCGCACCTTTGTTCAGCTCACAGGTTCCCGGTGCATTGTCCGGCACATGTTTTGTGGGGGATAGCTTGCAGTCCCTGTAGCTTTGCAATGCTGGTTTGCTTGTCTTGTAGAGTGTAATAGCAACTCGGGAAAATCATAAAATCGTATACACATCCCAACTCCTCTATGTTTCGAGGGGAAACGTATCGCTGATGGAAAAAGGCCTGTCTCATGCCCTAACAGCGGGCTTGATGCTTGCGGTCCAAAATGTCATTCTGAACACCGATCAGCACTTGCATGGTGAATTGTATCTGAGCTTTCTCTCTCGTTTTGCGCAAAAGAGCGAAAATCTGTTCACCTAAACCACCTGCGCCTAGGTCGCTGGCTTCTCCTCTGAGCCGTCGTGATTCGGGTTGAACATAGCACCACCTCACGAAGTTCTACCGTTTTCTGAATGATAGCAAGCAAAGAGCCGCAGGTTCTTATAAAAGCCACCACAGCACGTACCCACATTTACAATTATTATCAATTACAGTATCTAAGTATACGTACATTTACTATACAAAATAGCAGGGATTTGTTTGGGATTATAATAAGTGCAATACAGCTTCTAAACCAACCTGTATTTTTCGACAAATCCGAACTCGATTGGACTAAACTAAACACACTTTCACACTTCTTTCGGTCGCTAGCTTCACATGTCAGCGCAAAGACCGACCGGTTCGCCACCTTCCGGCTCCTCTAAGATGAGCTGAAACCTCGGCCGCTGCGGCTTGACCATGTCCTCACACCCAAAAGGACTGCCTCGTTCCGGAGCCCACAGAAATGCACACAGCAGGTTTCACCTGGTTTTGCACAGTACAAACTACTGGGAAACCACTTGGAATAGCGATGGCATCCAACCTAAGAGCGATGGCCTCCAACCTAAGAGCGATGGCCTCGTCCTGTTTTTTTGTACAAACATGTACAAACTACTTGGCATTTGGCCATTGCCACATCTTGCTACCACTTGGGTGTCAAGTGTCCCTGAATAAATCTCTCCCAGTACACAGCTGCTTGTCCTTGCCTGAAGAGTTGACAAAACATACAAAACACAGCACATGCTGAATACTGGCCCAATCAATACCAGGTTTGGGAATGATTCAAGGACTGCTGGCTCACTGCTTGGCAGGTTGCCAAGCTGTGAAAATCTGGCAGCATTGAGTTCCTGGACAACTACTTTTCGCAAGGGGTGCCTTGGTCTGCCACACATGGAATCTACCACTTGCTCCCTCCTGGCTCAACAACCCCATGAACTTTGTTTGTTTGGATTGTCATATTATGTAATATTGCTCATCCCTCGTGGCTAGTTGCCACTAGGAAGCTGATCTGCAGCCTCGCTCAATTGCTTGGGCAAGATCTCCAGCAAGACCTACAGCTGCTCGAACAGTGACATAACATCCGATCAGGAATACTCAACTTGGAGAACTCCCTTGCACCTTGCACAGTGAGTTGCATCGCGTCCGGGATGGTTATGATATGATCCGCAATGGGACGGCGCTAAGGGGCGTCCAATGGAATCCATGACCAGAAAATAATAGAAAATATGTTTTCTGAACGAATCTGTCAGCGGCCTCCTGGCGCATCTCTCCATGCATCCATTTCAGCTCGCCCTGGCGTCGAACGGCACCAGGGAAGCGGGATCCAATTGACTCATGATCGGACATGGCCGTCCCATGTGAACGCCTTTAGACTTCAGGTCATACATGGTCATACAACCCAAAGATTCTGGATCCAAATTAAGATAAATTAAGAGTGAATTAAGAATATAAATATCTGACTCACAGAGTGGCAGTGTGAAGCAACAGAAACTGCTTTGTCACAGGGTTCCATGTCAATGTGGATACAGGGATACCCCATCCCTGAATCGAATTGCTGAGCCACTTCCCTCCGGTGTGATCGTGCTTGAGTGGTCGACAACATCTCGGCAAGTCTTTGCTTTTCTTCCTAAATCCCTCCGTTTGCACCCAAGGACCTGAATGCCAGTGGCTGTACAAAAATGAGGAGAAGCCATCAGCAGTACAATTCGCAACTCCTTGCATAAAGACTTCGCAAGATGTACTGAGTTCCTGTGCAAACAACACATGGCTCCCCTGTCACCAAGCGAAGTGCTGGAACCATCTCGCCCCAGAGCTTGCCAGGTTCGGTCCAGGAACGATGGTCGGCTCGACTCTCGTCCCACCGGGGTTGCTACCCGGGTCGCACAAGACATCTGTCCGCGCAACAAACCCTCCAATCCAACGGCTCAGGTGAGGGTTGCAGGGATCCGGGGCCCCTGAATGCCCAAAATGCGAGGCCTCAAGGGTCTGAGAGTTGGAAATGCCTCTCTCAGTGAATCTGTACATAAAAATCAAGCAACTCTGCGAACTATACTGTCGACGCCTTGGGCGAAAACGACATGTACTGCGGGTGGGCAGGCGTTGGGCCTGTACACTCACACTAGCTAAGGACATGTCTTGCCACTGACCCATGTTGAGCAACATCTTCCTTGAAACGAATCTAGAACGGACCAGCTCTTAAAAGGAAGTTATTTGGCAAGACTTTTTGGAGTCGCCATTGCCATGCATTCCTTGACATTCCTAAAGCTGCTCATCGCCAGCCTTCGCCAACAAATGCGCTGAGTGTGTCTTTGTAGCCTCCCGGCTTTTCTGGACACCATGGCCACAGCCAAGTCGGGGGAGAAAATCTCAAGGCATCTCCAACCTCAGAGCATCTCCACACAGACCCACGGGAACCCAAAGGGAGACCTCTCACACACACATCCTAACACCGACTTGATGGGCCGCAGACGGTCGAAGCAGAAAGTTTCTTGGACCAAATCATCCAGATGAAACCAGCCATCGGTAGATGGGAACAAGATGAGCTGTGTTTTGAGATTCTGTGGGATTCACCAAGAGGCGCAGTGTTTCTGGGAGATCTAAATCCATCACTCCAAGCGGCGTGGCCAAAAGCTGGCAGGTGGGCGACCTGCCAGCTTAAATTAGTGGGAGAGCCGAGAAATTGGATGGTCACATCTGG